GACATCATCCTTTGTTCTGTATCTTCTTTACCGTGCCAAGTGGTTTTCAATGTTAAAGTCGTATGTTTTCAAAGGAAAGACATGTTTTTTAAAAAGAGAGAATGTGCTTAAATATTCAGACCTTCATATGATCTTGAGACTGCCCCTTCCCAACTCTGGCAAAAAGTTGGATGCTTACTCTCCAGAGGGGGTTAGAAGGTTTCTGGACTAGGAAGCCTTCCCAGAGACCTGGAAGATGAAGTGAATCTGGACATGAGTGCTGAAAATACCCAGTCCTCTTCCCCCACTGAGCTCCCAGTAGGCCAGCAGTTCAAGGTGAACCCACCTGACAAGACTGAAGGTTTCTCCAAGGAATCTGACCAGCCCAAGAGGAAAGTCCTAAAGATACGGACATTGGAGATTTACTCAAAAAAGTCCAATCAGGTCACCTTACAAACATATATTCTTTTTAATACCCTGCTCTTAAACGTAAGTAGACTACCAATGATTGCCAGGCAGCTAAGGAAAGTCTGTAACACGAAAGACTAAAACAGAAAGGGGTAAGAAAACATCACGCAGGAGATGAAAGCTTCAACACAGCATATTTTTTTTTTTTTTTTTTTGTGGTACGCAGGCCTCTCACTGTTGTGGCCTCTCCCGTTGCAGAGCAACAGGCTCCGGATGCGCAGGCTCAGCGGCCATGGCTCACGGGCACAGCCGCTCCGCGGCATGTGGGATCTTCCCGGACCGGGTCACGAACCCGTGTCCCCTGCATCGGCAGGTGGATTCTCAACCACTGCGCCACCAGGGAAGCCCAACACAGCATATTAATTAACGTCCTCAGAGATAGGAAGATATTGCAACCCTGGAATGAGGTCATATTTTTTTTTTGCCCGTGCTGTGTGGCATGTGGGATCTTAGTTCTCCAACCAGGGTTCGAACTCGTGCCCCCTGCAATGGAAGCATGGAGTTTAACCACTGGGCCGCCAGGGAAGTCCCAAGGTCCTATTAAAAACAAAAAAACAGGACTGGTGTTCCCAGGTGGCGCTGTGGTTAAGAATCTGCCTGCCAATGCAGGGGACATGGGTTCAAGTCCTGGTCCGGGAAGATCCCACATGCCACGGAGCAACAAATCCCGTGCACCACAACTACTGAACCTGCACTCTAGAGCCTGCGAGACACAACTACTGAGCCTGCACGCCTAGAGCCCGTGCTCCACAACAAGAGAAGCCACCACAATGAGAAGCCCATGCACCACAAGCGTAGCCCCCACTCGCCGCAACTAGAAAAAGCCTGCACACAGCAACAAAGACCAAATGCAACCAAAAAATAAATAAAATTTAAAAATTAAAAAAAAAAAAAGAAAAATGAAGCTTCAGAGAATCAACTTGGGGAAATCTACAAAGGAGGTCAAAAAACAAGAAAATGGGGGATAGGGGAGGCAAGGAGAGAAAAGAGGAGAAAAATAGGTAAGTCCAGGAGATCCAACATCTGAATAACAGGAATTCCAGAAAGCAAAATCAGAAAACCAAAGGTAGGAAATCATTAACAAGTAATTCAAGAAAGTTTCCCAGAAATGAAGGATTAAAGTCCATTCTGAAAAGGTTCAGCAAGAGCCTAGCACAATGCACCAAGAGACCTTTGCCAAGGCACGTCAGTGTGAATCTCAGAACACTGGCAACAGAAGGGAGAGTCACATACAAAGGTCAGCACTCAGAACGGTCTCAGACTTCTCCACATCAACACAAGATGCTAGATGAAAAAGTAACGATGCCTTCAAAATTCTAAAGGAAAACGAACACCAACCTAGAATTTCATACTCAGTCGAGTATGAGAGAACAAGACACTTTCAGACATGCAACGTCTCTCAAAAAATTACTTCCCATGCACCCCTTCTACAGCAGGTCTCTACTGGACGAGGTAATAAACCATGACAGGAAAAGGTTACACAAACAACAGGAGATTCAACAGAGGAAAGTCCATGATAACGGCAATACCTTAGGCACAAAGGAAAGCCAGTCCAGAGTGGGGCCAATCAAGAAGAAACTGATCAAATAGATGATGTATTAATGTCTACAGAGAAGTCTGAGGTTAAACCAGTGACAAGTTGACAGAAAATTAAGCCAATAAGAATGTAAGTGAATTAATTCTAGGAAAAAGTTAGTTCTGCAGGAAAGTAACCTAGTCTACCACCTGGCTCAGCTGTGATTTAAATGCCCAGCCCTAATAACATAAATACTGAATATGATCTAACCAGAATTATAATATCAGGGAGATGGGTGATGGGGAGCCCATGCATGGTGGGCAGGAGGAAGGAGAAGCTGAAAGATAAATGCCTAAAACGAAATATCAAGGAGTAGCCATACAAACAGGTTTAAATTGAGACATGGAGGCAAATACAAACAACCAGCCAAGAGTTGAAAGGGACTCCCCAGAAGCAGGGGAAATGGGGGAGAGGGTCAGACAGGGCAGGAGGGCTGTTGTTTTTCATAATAAGCCTCTCAGAACTATTTGCTCTTTCAATGTAACTGATTTTTTTCTAAAGTGCAAGATATAAAACTGTTTATAAAGCTCTATGTTTTAGGTTAATCTTCTTTATTGTTTTATAAAACTTCCAGGGAATTCCCTGGCAGTCCAGTTTGGGACTCAGCTGCTGAGAGCCCGGGTTCAATCCCTGGTCAGGAAACTGAGATCCCACAAGCCGTGTGGTGCAGCCAAAAATCAGAATTAAAAAATGTAGCGCTTACATAAAATAAGACACTCTATCTAGACCAGGGTCAAAATGTGACCTTGGATATACCGAATTAGAATCATGGAGTCGTGGCGGCAAGGGCATGGTTTAAAATGCAGATTTCTGGGTTCAAATTCCAGACCAAGTAATAGGCACCTCTAGGGGTGGTGCTGTGCAACCTTCACTTCTAACAAGATCTCTAGCCGATGTGGAAACCACTGCTCTAACTCACTATATTACTAATTCAGGAGGCTCAATTAAGAAGCCAATAAATCAATGTCTAAATCAAGGGGAAGGGGGGGGGTATTCCAGACAGGGCACTATGGGTATCATAACTTCTACCTGAAAGAAACCCACTCTATATGTAACTCAATGTGCATGTTTCTTTTCTTATCAGAAACAAGTTAACTCTTGTTCACATCTAAAACAAATTAACTCCCTTCCACAGTGAGTTCACTGGAAACCACCCCACGTGCAGGAAACCCTCCACTGGAGCAGCACTGCTTGTTGGGTCACTGGCCACACTGCATCCAAACATATCAGAGGAGCTGGGGGTGGGGGAGCAAGAGACACAACACAGGGGCTGCTCTCGGGGGGAACGGTCCTGTTAGCTGACAGACTCAATGATGCTCACTGTCCTCGAGTTATTACAGGAATGAAACAAGGTCTGTCACCACGTGGTTGTGTCATAACCACAAGACAAAGCTTACTAGAAAATCTCTACTTGATACAGATGGCCAACAAACACATGAAAAGATGCTCAACATCACTAATTATTAGAGAAATGCAAATCAAAACCATAATGAGGTACCACCTCACACTGGTCAGAATGGCCATCATCAAAAAAATCTATAAACAATAAATGCTGGAGAGGTTGTGGAGAAAAGGGAACCCTCTTGCACTGTTGGTGGGAATGTAAATTGATACAGCCACTATGGAGAACAGTATGGAGGTTCCTTAAAAAACTAAAAATAGGGGCTTCCCTGGTGGTGCAGTGGTTGGGAATCTGCCTGCCAACACAGGAGACACGGGTTCAAGCCCTGGTCCAGGAAGATCCCACATGCTGTGGAGCGACTAAGCCCGTGCGCCACAGCTACTGAGCCTGTGCTCTAGAGCCCGCGAGCCACAACTACTGAAGTCTGCGTGCCTGGAGACCGTGCTCTGCAACAGGAGAAGCCACTGCAATAAGAAGCCCACACACCGTGATGAAGAGTGGCCCCCGCTCGTGGAACAATGTCCACGTCTCTTTTCCTACCCTGCAAATAGGTTCATCAGTACCATTTTTCTAGATTCCATATGTATGCGTTAATGAACGATATATTTTTTTTCTCTTTCTTCAATCTGTATGACAGACTCTAGGTTCATCCACATCACTATAAATGACCCAGTTTCGTTCCTTTTTATGGCTAATACTCCGTTGTATATATGTACCACATCTTCTTTATCCATTCATCTGCTGATGGACATTTAGGTTGCTTCCATGTCATGGCTATTGTAAATAGTGCTGCAATAAACTTTGGGATATATGTATCTTTTTAAATTATGTTTTTCTCAGGGTGTATGCCCAGCAGTGGGATTGCTAGATCATATGGTAGTGCTATTTTTAGTTTTCTGGGTTTTTTTTAAATTTAATTAATTTATTTTTGGCTGCGTTGGGTCTTTGTTGCTGCGCGCGGACTTTCTCTAGTTGCGGCGAGCGGGGGCTACTCTTCGTTGCGGTGCACGGGCTCCTCATCACGGTGGCTTCTCTCATTGTGGAGCACGGGCTCTAGAGCACAGGCTCAGTAGTTGTGGCACGGGCTTAGTTGCTCCGCGGCATGTGGGATCTTTCTGGACCAGGGATGGAACCCGTGTCCCCTGCGTTGGCAGGCGGATTCATAACCACTGTGCCACCCAGGGAAGCCCTGAATTACCTTTTAATATTGGATTACTTTTGCTAAATGCTGAGTCACTGGGGTTTCCAGGCTACAAGGTCACAGTATTAGGTTTTTTTCACAGACCATGACCACGTGTGTTGTGTTGTTCAAGCTGAGCTGATGGTGCGCCCACAAAGGCTGCCTGAACAAAGTGCTGCATGAATGTCCGTGCCGACAAACGAGGCAATCTGTGCACCCTCGGAGTTGTTCCAAGGGCTTAACCAGCAACTGGCCTGGAACAGCAGCTTATGCTCTTATCAGTAACTATGCTACTTCAAACTGGAAAAAAGCAGGACATCTCCCAGGGTGTGAAAGTTTAACCTGCTTTCAAAGCAAACACACACACACACACACACACACAAAAAACTACAAAATGAACATACAGTCCTTATATTCTCAAAAAAAGAAAAACCCACCACAATTATTTAGTTTAACATTTACCCAGATCTAAAGAAAAAGATGTCAGAAGATAACCTAGGACATATACATACGCACGCACCCCCTGACCCAGATAACCTAAAAGAAAAAAATAAGGGCAAAGTTCTGTCCAAGATAAATTTATCTTCGTTTCTGGAAGATGTTGCCACGTCCCATTCCACGTCCTCTCCCTCTTGCGGCCACTACAAGGTGGGGAAGAGAAAGGACAAGGCCAGGTCAGTAAGGACTCATATCACAGAGCAGCCAGAGCCCTAGGACATGGCCCAGGAAGGGGACTGAAAGGCCACCCCGTCCAGCACCACACTCACCCCGTCACATTTCACGGGGTAAACAGAGACCCTGGGAGGGGCAGGTGCCTGGCATCAGAGCTGGAGAGCCCTGGACTCCTGCCTTCCAGCCCAGCACTGTTCCCCACCAGAGGCAAGGCCTTGTGGCAAAGGTGGTTTGGGGACCCAGTATGGGAACCATAGAAAAGGTGACTTCTCAGAGCTGGCCCAGGGTGAGCTAATAAAACATGACAGATGCATTTAATTCACACTTAAAATTCTGAAACAAACAGATGTTAAATGTTAATATCTATTAAATCTGGGTGAGGGGTTTTATTATTCTTCGAGCTATTCTGCAGGTGTGAAATATTTTGGAATGGGGGGAAACACCAAAACCACTCCCCACATAAAGATTGCTGTTCTCTGTGACCCAAAGGTTCTAGGAGACCAGTGGCTTTGAAGAACAGGTGACAATATCCTGATGGCTACTAACTGGAGCCTCACCCCTCTCCTCTTACACAGCCTGGGGCTGGCACAGGCACAGTGGCTCAGGCAGAGGTCAGCGGGCCGAGGCAGACTCACTGCCAAGTGCCTTCTAGTGCACGGCCACTGGGCTCCTCCCTTTGCTAGAGAAGATGGTATCGTTACACAGTGACAACGAGGGCAGCCCTCCTTGAGGAAGCAGAGAGAACAGCAGCTGTAGCACAAAGCTGGAACTTCTGAAAATAGTTCCTTCTCCAGGACAAAGGTCCAGAGCTTTGGTCCCATCTCCCCACAACTATCTCTCTTCCAGGAAGGGCAAGGAGATTCTCTGATCAGTTTTTCTGGAGGGCATTTTAAAGGGTTACTCTACTGAGTCTTTAAACTCAACATATGTACTGCAGCTAAAGATACTGACAGAGACGCTGGTGACTTTCCTGCACTGTAAAGCCTTTTACCAATAAATACTAAGACAGTTCCTAGCGACTGCATTTGCTTTCTTAGCTAATCAACATGGCAGAACTTTTCAGGACCCACATACAAAACTCTGGTTGGGCTAACCAAGAAAAGAGGTCAGACCAAGTCACCGGGAAAAGGCTAGTCCCACTTTTGGAAAGTGGTAAAGGAAGGACTTATTTTCAAATGTAAGAAGTTTTGAAAATGAAGTCAGCCCCCTTTAATGGGTAAAGATGGCTCAAAACTGCTTACTTATCTGAAAGTGGATCCCCCCCCCCAATTCCCTTATTTATATTGCGTATCAGGAGACATTCCCAGCCTCAAGAGGAACTATTATCCCATTGCTTTAGGAGTCAGCTAATCAACACCACAGTGCCTCTAGTCAGCAAACTAGGCCAGGGCAAGCTTCCCCCAGACACCCCAGAATTTCTGAAAACAAAGGGCCTCCTAGAGAGTCATTACAGGAGACTTATCTACTCTTTCATTTAAGTCCCCATCTTCTTTCTAAGGAGCCACTTTGGAGTTTGCATAGCTCCTGTGAATGGGATCAGGTGAGGCAGACAGAGAAGGCAGGGCACTTGGATCCCCCAAGACTGCAGGGAAAAGGGGTGGCAGTGGGTATGGAGTGGCTCAGGTCAGGTCCACCCCCATGCCTCAACAACAACAGGGCATTTCTAAAAGGTACACGACACACCCACATGTCACAACCAGTGCACGAGGAGCACCTACCTTGGGCCTTCAGAATAGCAGCCTTTCCCCGACCGGCCCCTGAGCCTTGGTTTTTATTTTTCATGCTCTTTAACATGGGTGCGTTTTTCAGCATGTCAGGCAAAATCAGAAAGCGGATCTTGCTGCCACGGATGTACACCTGCTCCAGCTGTGCCACTCGGCCATCTCTGTATGTGACTGTGATGTTGGACATCTGGAAGGGAACCACCGGCTCATGAGTAAAGGCCAACAGCACCAGTGGAGAGCAGGGTACGTGAAGACAAGCCTTGGCAAAGAGGGGAGTCCAGAAATGCAGAAACTCACATCACTAAGTAAAGCTGGGGGAACTCCAGAGGGCCTATTGTGTGCGCCAGGGACTGTGCTCAGCACTTCACAGAGATGGTCCTAACAGTATGAGATTTCCCCCCCACACACCTTTTTTTTTTTTTTTGTGGTACGCGCGCCTTCACTGTTGTGGCCTCTCCCGTTGCAGAGCACAGGCTCCAGACGCGCAGGCTCAGCGGCCATGGCTCACAGGCCCAGCTGCTCCGCGGCATGTGGGATCTTCCCGGACCGGGGCATGAACCCGTGTCCCCTGAATCGGCAGGCGGACTCTCAACCACTGCGCCACCAGGGAAGCCCGAGATTTCCCATTTTTAAAGATAAAAAAACTAAGGCACTTGTCCAAGGTCCAACAGCCAGAAGGCAGGGGCTCCTGATTCAAATGCCTGGACTGGCCCCCAGAGCCCCAACTCTGCCATCCTCGCTCTCCCACCAGCACGTGATAAACTAACTGAAATGGCTTAGAATTGCTTGTCCAAACCCTGTGTCCCCTCCCGTATCTGCCCAGCACATGGACTGCAAAGGCGCCATGAGGGTTACGAGCGTGCACCAGATGCGGTCCCTGACCTCCCAGGGGACACACTCGAGTAAGTGAGACAGAGCCCCTCTGGCTTGGGTGACAGGGACTGAGAAGTGGGGGTGGCAGTGCCTGCACGAATGGCTCAGAATACAGGACAGGTGTGAGGCGAGAGTTCACACAAAGACCAGACAGGACATGGAGCAGAGGAACTGGGACTGAGGGCAGGGTCGTCACCTCAGAGACTATGGGGCCATGCAAGTTTGTGGATAGAGGCAGGGCAGACAGGGCTAGGGCGGCACTTCGGACAGATGAATGCGTCAACCATGGGATGGGGGGTGGGGGATGAAGGGGGGCTTAGAGGAGAATCCAGCCAGGATACTGGCCGGGCGTGGGAACGTGACACAAACCTGCCAGTGCCAATCTCAACAGGCACCACGTTTATCAGATAAAGCAGCTTATTTTACCAGCCTTCTGGATGGAAAAGGACTACAATTTATTCAGAATGGGTCAAGCCTACATGGGAGAGAGGTGTGCTGGCTCCCCAATTTCTGCTGCTTGTTGTCACCTCAGCCTGACTTGCTCTTTTCTTCAAGTGTTAACTGGCCCCCGTGGCCTCTGCATGAGCGCCCAGCGGCAGAAAGATCAAACACGCTCTAAGGCTGCCCTGCAGCTGCCAAGCCGCCTCCCCTCCAGCACATCCTGGTACATCTCACTCCCTCCTCTGTCACTGCCTCCCCAACCCTCTCTGAGAATCCCTGACAGAGGCTGTTACGGAAGATCAACAACACTTACACTGAGTGCTTTCACAAACGGCACGTGTCCACCTGGGCTGAAGCAAGAAAGAGCCCAGCATCCCTAGTCCTATTACAGCCTAGGAACCAGGCGGGCCGCTGCCTCGCGCTCTCTCCACGGCACCAGCAGAGAAATGGCCGTGCCGTGTATCCCTCCGCCGGGTACACAGCTTGTCAACAAGCCCGAGCTGCGCTCGCATCATGAGCTAAAGGCAGCAACTTGTGTGAACTCGGTTTAAATGAAAGTCAGGCAGGAACACCCCGTCCATTCAACTCTCCCAAACAGCCACAATGAAATACAGATGGCATAAGCCAGGTGCCCAACTGCAATGACACTTTGGGGAGAGAAGATCTTAGTACAGACCGTCTCTGTACTCATTACCCACATGTCTGGGGCCGGGGTGGAGAGTGCTGGGTGGCCAAGGATAGTCGGTCACAGCATCCCAGCTGCGGGGCACATGGCAAGCAGCCAGCAGATGTTCACCCCCTCCCTGTCCCACCATCCTCATTTTCCTGTCTGGAACCTGACAGTCAGAACTGAGGGCTTGATGCTTTCAGAGGCAATGGGATCCAACAGGTTTACTCTAGGCCTCATTTTAGAGACTGTCGCCAAGTTCACAGACTTGGGAGTCAGACACTTGGGTTTAGATTGGCTCCTTCCATGCTTGGTCACCCTGGGCATCTGGAAGCTTGTCCTCAGAGAGGTCCTGTAATGATTCAAGGACCTATTGTATGTAAAACCCCAGCATAGTACCTGGCACAGAATGTGCATGCAATGAACAGAACCTTCTGGCACTATTAAGCACACAGCCATTTGGAGACAGGTCCTAGTTTGACAAGATAAACTAAGACTTCAAAATACTTAACAGCACCCAGTAGAATTTAGAGTTTGGTTTCTAAATTCTACTCCCAACCTAAAAGAAAGCAAGGCTCCTGAAGAAATGGCTGATTCCAGAGCTGGGTTAGGGAAGGTAAAAGATGAGCCTGTAACAAGCATCTTATACCAGAAGGTAGGGATGTGCTCCCCCAAAATGACCAGGACACACCAAAGGACACAGGAGTCAGCCTGAGAGGCTCCTACTGGTCAAATCTGGGATAACTGGAACATCAAAATCAACATTGACAGCAATGGATTGTAACACCCTTAACAAAACATATTGACAGTATGAGCCTATATTGATAGTAAATGAATGGATAAATGGGGGGTAAGGGAATGCACTTCCATACAGCAGACCCAATAAATACAGAAAGAATGATGGAGGAAAAACAAAAATTATTCTTTGCAACCGTAATAGTAAAAAGATTCAAGCAAGAATCTTCACAGGAAGCTAAATGGGGCTGAGGAATGGGACAATAATGACGAACAGAATGCTCACAAGGTATTTACTTAAAGAACCTCCCCACAAAATTCTCATTAGTTACAAAAGGAAAAGGAACATACAGTGGAGAGACCACATAACACCTTAACCAAAAGATCAAGGTTAACATTGCAAACAAGGGGCAAACAGGTGTTTAGGCCTGACTGACCCTCTGAGGAGACAAAAATCACACAATAACAGCCCATAAAAGCATAACCCAAATCTAATTAGGAAGAAGCATCAGAGAAACCCCAATCAAGGGACATTCTAACAAAATAACTGGCCTCTAGTCTTCAGAATCATCAATGGTGTGAAAAACAAACTTGGAGGAACCGTCCCAGACTAAAGAAGCATCAAATGAGTTGACAACTAAACCCAGGAGGCAGAGAGGACTACACGGCCATAAAGGACACACTGTGCACCTGTAGAAACTGGATACACTGCAGGCTAAAGTACTGACTCAATCTTGGAGTTCCTGAATAACTGTACTATGGATACAGTAAGAGGAAATATACACAGATATACACAACATATTATGCAATAAAGGAGTATGATGACTGCAATCCACTCTCAAATAGCTCAGAAGAAACATCTAGGTAGATTTTTCCACAGACCATTATGCCACAGCCAAGAAAACAGTTCAAATAGTCCTGTCACTGACAGGGTGATCATGCCAAAGCCCCCAAAGCATCATTTCTGCAGAATCTATTAACTGTCACTTTTCCCCCACCAAAACGTCTAGGAATTACATCACTTTAAAGATAATGAAATTTTGGATTTGGCCCTTACTCTCTTTTTAAAAAATAACATTTACTGTGCTTTATGATCACAAGCTTAACACATGATTGTCATTTTAAGGTAAGAAAAATATTTTTTTTAATTTAATCACATATAATTTCCCACGAAAAAACAACTATTCACTTTGGTCTTCCTCAAAAACCTTTTTTTGTTTTAAATTTTATTTACTTATTTTTTTGGCTGCATTGGGTCTTCGTTGCTGCGTGCGGGCTTTCTCTAGTTGCGGTGAGAGGGGGCTACTCTTCGTTGCGGTGCATGGGCTTCTCATTGCGGTGGCTTCTCTTGTTACGGGCTCTAGGCACACGGGCTCAGTAGTTGTGGCTCGCAGGCTCTAGAGCACAGGCTCAGTAGTTGTGGCACATGGGCTTAGTTGTTCTGGGGCATATGGGATCTTCCTGGACCAGGGCTCGAACCCGTGTCCCCTGCATTGGCAGGCAGATTCCTAACCACTGCACCACCAGGGAAGTCCCCCACACCATTTTTATAATAGAAAATGTTATTAAAACCCAACATCAAATGGCAAACACTGAACTCCAGCTGCCCTCTAGCAAAGAACAAGCAGAGAGAGAGCCAAGAGGACACTCTCATCCCCAAAGGGCACACTTACTGGGACTAGGAAGAAAGGAGAACAGCAGGCACCATCGGCCTCCCAGCCCGGGGACATGTGAGTCAACTGTGCTGGGTGCTCATCACAGTGGGCTCAGCTCCGCCACAGCCTGCTGGGGTCTATCCAACGCGCCAGGTTTCGCTATACCCCGTGAGGCCTCGAATCTTGGCATGGGCAGGGTAACAGGCTGAATTGTACCCACCCCCCAAATTCATATATTGAAGTCTTAGCCCCCACCAACATGACTGTATTTCAAGACTGGATCTTTACAGAGGTAACTGGGCCCTAGTCCAATATGGCTTATGTCCTTATAAGAAGAGATTATGATACGGACACACACAGAGGGAAGACCACATGAAGATAAAGGAAGAACACAGCCATCTATAAGCCAAGGAGAGAGGCTTGGAATAGATCCTTCCCTCATGGCCCTCAGAAGAACCAACCTTGCAACACCTTGATCTCGAACTTCTAGCCTCCAGAACCCTGAGAATAAATTTCTGTTGTTTAAGCCACCCAGCATAGGACTCTGTTATGGCAGCCCTAGCAGATTAACACAGGTGGAAGGAGGTGGCAGGCCCCCACTGTCTGACACGCAACGGCTCATTTATCCTGCACTACAGTCCTCAGGCTGAGGTGCTATTTTTATCCCTGATTTAGAAAGGAGGGAACAGAGGGTGAGGGAGGTCCAAAGCTCACGACAAGTCACACCAGGTGGCAGGCTGCAATGATTCCAGATCCATCACAGGGTCTGTGTGCTTTACTTCACACTGGCTACCATTAGAGAGAACACCAAGGGCACCCGGTCAGACACCTTACCTTCACGTTATAGACGGGAAGTCTGAAGCTCTGCAAACTCAGGAAGCTATCCAAATAAACAGCTGAATAAACAGACGAAGATTCCCATCCTAGTCTTGCATTGTACTCACCAAACTGAAGCGCCTTAAAATGGATGAGGATGCCTTCAGCCAGAGGACTGGACCTATGACAGCCATACCTCATGAAAGCAAAGGAGGCCTGGCCCCACCAGACCTGCAGAGAGGCCACCCACCCACCTCTGTGGCGTTAACACCGAGGAGAGAAACCTGCAGTCAACAGATGTCTATTTCCCCAAACACGAGGGAACCCCCAGCTGGTCAACCTGGCAGGAAAGAGGATGCTCAAAGCTACAGAGAAATCACAAATAAACCAATGAACCCTGTGAAACAATGGATACTTAGGACACCTGTCCTGCAATATGACCTTGGGTAAGTCACCTCACCTCTCTGACCTTCAGTTTTCTCACCTAGAAAATATCAACAGGTACCATATGTTGACATTTACAATGTGCAAGGCGCTGAGCTAGTTGCCCCCCCCCCCCCCCCCCACACACTCTCTCTCTCTCTCTCTCTCATCTGATCTTCAGAACAGCCCTGGGGTGGGGGTATTACCCCAGTGGCAGTCTTAGGAGTGCACTGCTCGGACTGGGATCCACCACAGCATTCACCCTGAAGCCACTCTCTTGTCAGGCTGCCAGCCAATGACTGACCACAGTGGGGGTATAGCGCCAGGCCACCTGTGCCCCATGCTAGACTCTTCCAATGAGAAACCTTCCTTTGCCTGGCTGAGACTTCCTCAGAGATACATTCCTACTCAACCCTCCTTCCTTTCCTCTCTCCTTTCCCCAGTGTCAGACCAGCACCCCAGACTGAAAGCTCTCCTGCTCCCTCTCCTTTACCCTTTATTGTTAGCTTTCCCAGTCAATCTCTTGCAGAACTAATTCTATTCTCATTTTACAGATGAGAAAACTGAGGTGATTAACATGCCCAAGGTCAATCAGAATTCAAAGCCACATCTGATTCCAAAGTCCAAGCTCTTAAGGAGAAATTATGTTACACTTTGTAAAGCGATGCCATACAAATCCACCTGACTATTAACAAAAAGCAATGCTGTGCCACGGGAAGGGCACCACATCAAGAAGTGGCTCCAACATTTATTAACAGTGACGTTCAGTAGATGAGTCCTTTAATCTTATTCTTCCTATCTTTTTTTTTTAAGGTTTATTATTTATTTATTTTATTTATCTCTGGCTGCGTTGGTTCTTAGTTGCGGCATGTGGGATCTTTCGTTGTGGCTTTTCTCTCTCTAGTTGTGGCGCACGGGTTCCAGAGCACGTGAGCTCTGTAGTTTTCGGCACATGGGCTCTAGTTTAGACATGCAAGCTCAGTAGTTGTAGCACTCAGGCTTAGTTGCCCCATGGCACGTGGGATCTTAGTTCCCTGACCAGGGATCGAACCCACATTCCCTGCATTGTAAGGCGGATTCTTTATTACTGGACCACCAGGGAAGTCCCCTATTCTTCCTATCTTATGGATGATGAAACTATCACCAAACCTGCTTACCTCACAAGGTAGTTGCTATAAATGCAATCAAATGAGATGCCTCCCCCAAGAAAAATGGCAATAAACACAATATGTGAGCGGAAGATTCTGCTAACTGCAAAGCACTATGCAAACATATGGGGTAAATGAACAGTGGCCCCGAACCCGATGGTCCTCTTGAAGGTAGTGTCACTTTTCTTAAACAGGTCCCCAAAATATGGGAGAAAATGATTATGGGATTGGGAGACACAAAGAACAAAGTTAAATATTCCAAACTTCCGAATGGCTCTTATTTCTACTCACATCCCCAGTACCTGTAGCAGTGCCTGGCACACATTAGGCACTCGGTAAATAACTGCTGAATGAGAACTTCAAAAAGACCCCCAGCCACCATCTTTCTGTCCTCCAAGGCACAGGCTCAAGCTTCCCCCACAGCCTCAAGTGCAAAGCAGGATACCTGGCAGTTCATGTTGTCCTCCGCTTCAATGAGCTTCCCTCGATACACCTCACCAGTGTTCGTCTCACATGTCACGATGTGACCCTCAGCCTCATGCAGGACTTTAATCGGCACGCCAATAGACATCTCGGCAGGAAGAGAGTTCTACAGTGAGAGAGACAACAGTTAGTTCACCTTTCAGAGCCCAAGAAGGCATGTGGCAAACACCATGCCCTCAAGGCCTGAAACTACACAAAACTTAGACAAGATGCCAAAGGTGCGTTTGTTATTATTATTATTATTTTTTACAGAAAAAAGTAGCTTAATTCCTAGCTTGAAGGACCTATCTGGCAAACACATGCAAGATGTGGGTGGGGAGGAACAGGGGAGCTAAAGGGAAAGCTAATGGGAATGAAAAGTTCCTCCCATCTCCCTCCCACTGTAGATCGCTTACTTTTCATCAAATAATTATGTGTTCCCCAATACTGTGTGTTGGAGAAGAGAAGGTTGAAATGCATGTATATTTGTCAACCCTCAGTTGTAGGTAACATCTCTTGGAGAACCTATGACGCACACCTGAGCTGTCCAAGGCAGTAGCCACTGTCTGCATGCAGCTACTGAAATTAAACTCAATTAAAGTGAAATAAAATTAAAATAGAAAATTCAGTCCCTCAGTCACATCAGCCACGTTTCAAGAGCCCAATGCAGTGGGCACTAAGCAGTGCAGATACAGACCAAAAGATCCAGGCAAATCGAGAAGAGGCAGTGCATTTAATTCAACCCATTAACTGCTCTCTGACCCTCCACTTACTTCACCATCAAGGCTAAAGAGAAAATAGCAAAGTGTTCACAAAGTGACAATGTGCTACAAGCAGGAAATGCTTATCTTGGAGGAAAAACATAATCAGGGCAAGAGCCCGACTTGACCTAATTGAAAGGGAAAAGCAGTGGACTCTTTCCGTTCCAAGATGGGCACATCTTGTGTGGTCAAGAGAGGAAAAGGAACAGGAGAGGTTGGGAAAGACAGGCTCCCCTGGCGCGGAGCCTTAGGAGTGTGGATTTTATGCTGAACGCAGTGGGGGAACCACGGCAGTATAGGAATTATCCGATGGAAAGGCATCCGCACTTACAAAATGAATCGAACACGATTTAGAAGTAGGGAAACTTGATAAAAACTTGTGTAACAGTGTAGAAAGCATGAAGGGACCAGTGTCTGAAAGGGGGATGGAGGCTGAGATGCAAAGGGCTTTGAAAAGGATCACCCAGGTAGGATTTGGGGGAAGGAGGCAATCAGTCAGAAATGATCTCAAGACCATTACCTGAATGATTCAAAAAACACCGGCCTGGAGAGGTATAGAAACTGAAGAGCATGTACTTTGGGGAAAAGCTAACGAACTCACTCCCAGGCGCTAGTGAGGCGACGCTCATGTTTCGATGGCCAGGCTTCCCGCTCTTCTCCCTCCCCGAGCCCCGCAAAGCTTCCCGGCAGCACGTCCTCCTCCAGTCCCCGGCTCCTCGCGGGTACCTCGGCCTACCCTCGCCCGCCCCCGGCCTCTCCTCACCGGTTCCGGTCTCCTCTTCCTTTCTGGTGCGGAGGTGACTCTTACGACTGCGAAGGCGTTAAGCGAGTGAATGGCGGGTCCCGCGCTCCCAGAATACCACGCGTTCCCAAAATGCCTCGCGCAGGGCCCGCCCCCTTCCTTTTCCTAGTGGCGGGCGCGGTCTCGCCTCTGCTTTCTCCTCACCCTGCCGGCTGGGAAACTTGGGCTCTGGTATAATAGTTCCGGGCCCGGAAGAGAGGGCTGATGACCGGACCCAGGTGCCGCCGGAAACATCGACCCTCGGGCCGGCAAGGGCAGAAGGGGGTCGCGTTTCCAAGCACCCCACACCAGCGACGGGCTGGACGGCAAGGTGGGCATCGGGGGCGAGAGGCGGTGGGGCCGAGGGTCAAGACCTGCCCTCACAATCTAACCTTGAGAACCCGGCAGCGCCAGGTGAGGGGTGCCCTGAGCGAGGCGAGTATCCCACCATACGGATAGGGAAACAGGGACGGAGCGGAGCGGGGGCGGCCTGTGACCGTCCCTCCAGGGGGTTGGAGTGGGGCTTGCTCTCCCGGAGCCCCGCGCTCTGCCTCGGCCCGAGGCTGGCGGAGGAGCTGGCCGGGCAGAGGCGGAGCTTGCTTGGGGAAGAGCCTCTGGGGAGCCCGCGTTCGCCCGGGCCTGGGCGGAGCTTCCGGGGAGCCGGGCGGGGAAGGGGTGCGAGGCCCGGGAGGCCAGGGGCGGGGCTCCCGGGAGCCGGGACCGCTAGCGACCGGACGAGCTGAGATCCCGAGCCCTGGGGCCTGGAGGCGTAGGAGTCGGGGCGGGGCGGGCCGCGGCCTGGAAGGGCCAGGGCGGGGCTTGGGGCGGCCCAGCCACTGCCTCCCCTTCACCCCAGCGCGCTGGTGCTGGCGGTGGCTGCCCAGGAACCCGGCGCGCACGGGTCCCGCTCCAGCCCCAGTCAAAGCCGAAGCTGCAGCCGGCTCCGGGCCGGGGCCATGGGAGCCCCCCGCCGCCCGCGTCATGAGGACGGAGGCGGAGGCAGCGGGGCCGCCGCTCGAACCCGGTCAGTGCTCCTCGAGGGCTCAGCTCTCACTCCGGGGAACAGGGGGGGACCCCGCCCTAGCGCGGGGCAGGGTCCGGCCGCGCGACCTTGGGCCGACGGCCGCCGCGGCCCGGGCTGTAGAGCTTTGAGCGAAACCTGGCCAGGTGTGCACTCCGCCTTGGCCACCCCACCGCCAGCCCCGGTTAGTTTGGGTTTCCTGATACTTCCTGGGCTGGGACCCCAGGCAGCTCTGATTGCGATCATGGTGGGAGGGTCCCCGTTGAAAGTCAGGAGCGGCACCTTCCGCAGAAGCGAAAAGTCCTCCTGGGGCTTGGAAGATCCTGTCCCCTCGGGTAGTTAAGGCCTAGAAGGGCTGGGAACTGGCTGGGAGTACAGAGCAATGGGGGAGGGCCTTCCCCTGGCCTTCCAGACTCAGCGTTTTGTCTTGCTACAGTTCTTCACTCTCTAGTTCCTCTGCCCCAGGTGGCCTGAGTTCCTTTGGGGCGGAAACACAGACTGACCCGTTCAGTGCGGCGGGCCTCAATTTGCTTTTCTAAGTGGGGGAGGGGGAAAGCAGTGATTCCTGCTCTGCTTAAGGCACAGGGTTGATGAGAAAGAGAAAGGGCTGGTAAACTCTAAAGTGAAGTGCCAACACACTGGAGAGGTCAGGAGCACAGGAGACCCCAACCCTAAGGCATTAGTGGGACACTGTGATTGCAGCAAGGAGTAGGGCCCGGGGCTACCCTGGGATTTGCCTGCCTACTCCTCCAATTACCTAACTCTGTGATCTTGGATCAGACACTTGCCTTTCCTGAGCCTCTGTGGTGTAGTGACTCACGTTTACAGGGAGCTTTCTGTGGGCAGGCACTGTGCTAAGTTGTTTACATGCAGAGCCTCGTTAATGCTCATAATGACAAAGTCGGTTACCTATGTTATTTGCACTTTTGCAGATGAGCAGACTGAGGCCGAGAGGGGTTAAGTATTCAGGGCCAGTGAACTATCTTCCTTCCTTGGCAACAGCTGCCAACTGAAGCCAGGCCAGCACCTTCCAGGCAGACCCTAGCTCTCAGGTGGGACAGTCCCTTGGCTCCAGGCATCAACATCTGGCAGCAGCTTTGGGCTTGGAAGGCCTCGCCTACTCTTATCACCCCCCACAGGAGTATCTCTGGGTCCCTCTTGGCTGACCTGCTTGTGCCAGGATTCGGGATGGCCATGTGGGGGACGTTTAGCCACATTGGGGGTGGGGTAAGGATAAAAGAGTTAGAGATCAGGGCAAGAAGAGAAGGGGCAGCAGAGTTCCCGAGGGCCCTAGAGAGCCGCCGACCCCTGCGACGTTTACAGCTTAGGCATAGGGGAGGCACAGGAAGAGTCAGAGCCTGGCCAAAGATGGCCCAGCTAGCCAGTGTCAGAGCCCAGGCCACAGAGCAAGGAGGGAGCTGTGAACAGAGGGGCACAGTCTGGAAGCCTGGGGGAAAGGGGAGTATTGTGACACGTGGGCCTGGGTATCTCGAAGGATAAGGTCTTTTTGAAAAAAACTCCTTTCATTCGCGATTCAAGCATGTGTGTGTGCCTGCTGTGGTCTGAGGGTTGGGAGGAGGCAAATGTTGTCTGCCTGCCACTGAGGAATTCCCAGTCTGTCCAGTGGGGAAGTTACACACCACCTCCAATCCTCCATATAAAGGGCCTCAGGGAGGGAAAGAGACCAGAGCATTTGGATGGGAGACCACCTTTCGGACTAAGGGATATGCAAGAGCAAAGGCTGGGGAGTAAACAGCCCATGTAGAGAAAAACAAAAAGGCAGTTTAAAGCCACAGTGAGGGGTTCTTGAAGAGGGAGGCACCCACCACAAGGGGACAGCACACTGCATAGGCTTCTCCCTCCACTCAGCCCGTTGGGGGATTACTTTAGGATGTGAACACCTGGAGGGCAGGGCTTGGTCTCAGTTACCTGTAATGTCCCCAGAGCCTGGCACACAGTGGTGCTTAATAAGTTCGTTTTTTTTTCCAGCAAAGGTTTGATTTACTACTAAGCATCAGACATTAGGCACTGGGAATAACAGTGAACAAGATTAGCACATTCTCTGCCCTTAGGAAGCTTACAGCCTAGTGGGGAGACAGGATAGCTTTATTTTATTTTTCTTGTTTTTGTTACTTTTGCTAAGTACTGTGAAGGAAACAGGGAAATACTGTGAAGAAGAGCCCCTTCTCCCAAAGGTACAGTCAGAAAACGCCTCTCATGGGAGGAGACTTTGAGCTGGGACCTGAATGACAAAAAGGGGAAGACTTGAGTACTGAGGGTAAGAGAGTTCCAGAGCTGCACATATAAAGGTCCTTGGGTGAGGGCCAAGGTGAAGCGAGTGAGGTGGGCCCTACAGGCCTTAGTAAGAGATAAGAACGTTATTCTAAGAGCAATGGGAGACTGGAAGGGATCCCTCCAGATGCTGTGTACAGAAACAGGAGAGGGGCTGGGGGTAGAAATTGGGGCAGAGGACAGGCAGAAGTCAGGCAGGATGGAGCCCTGGGGGTTGAATCCATGGCAGTGGATGGAGGGAATATTAGAAGGCCTCTAGTCATGGCCTGGGTTCCTTTTAGAGCCAGAAGGAGGGAGCAAAGCCTGAGCCTGCCTGGTCTAAGTGTGCCACGCCCCAGCTGGATGGAGATCAGGACTCACGGCAGCGCCTGTGAAGGGCTTCGCACACATTCTTGCCCCAAGTGCCCACAGCACCCTGCGGGCTGGGGTCTGTGAGAAAGGAGCGGGCACCGAGAGGCCATGTGACTCACCCAGTTGGTGGCCTGCACTCACCCGTGCCATCCTGCCTTCCAAGGGCCCCGCAGGTGAGGCATAGGAGGAGAGAGGACAGTACAGTGCAGCGAAGGAGCAGTCACGGGTCCCTGCCTCCTGGGAATGCATGACAGCCCAGCAGGGCACAGATGAGCTCCATGCGAGCGTCTCCTCCTGTGAGCCAAAGCATGAACTCTGGCCCGGCAGAGTGCAGATTAAGGAAGGGGCACGGCCAGCCTGGCATCAGGGAAGGCCCCAAAAGTGCTGGCATCTGAGCCAGGCCTTGAGACCGGGGAGTGTTTAGACATGGGGAGTAGGAGCTTGGGACCCACTCCAGGCAAGAGGCTGCCTGGACAAGACCAGCAGGTGAAAGGCCAGGACAGACTCCAGGATTCATGGGTGGCCCTCCTGGTTGGTGCACGCGGAGGAGGCCAGGGCAGCTCTGCACAGACCAGTCGTGGGTTCAGGAGAGTCCCCCGGAGACCCCTGAGGCAGGGAAACCACATGGGCTGAAAGGCCGTCCTAAATGAACAGAGTGCTCACAGCCGGAGAGAAATCCTTCAGTTCTTTAGACTCTAAGCTCTGTCCAGATTCACAGGATCCCAGGGCAGGAGGGTCCTGCAGGCCGCGTGCCCGCTTGCCTGCCCCAGCCCTGCCTGGTGCTCCCTGGCTCTCCTCTCTAAGGCACACCCCCCTACTTCCCCTATCCTGGCCCCTTGTTTTTCTCCTACGCTGCTTGTTTTTGCTGTCCACCAGGGCAGGGACCTGTCTGTGTCACTCACGACCATCTCTGGTTCACATGCCAGGCACTTACTAGGCTCTTGGGAATTATTTGTTGATTGAACAACTGAATCAGACCAAAGTCCCTACTTTAGAGATGGCCAGACTCTGTCCAGCATGAGGGAGTCAGTGGCCTAGCCCACAGCCGGCCAGTGGCAGAGCCAGGGCTGGAATGCCAGAATGCCTAGGTCGGGCCCTTTCTGCTCCACCCAGAGTAGCTTTCCACATGCAGACACGTGACCGTCCCCTCCTTGTAGCCCTGGGGGCTGTGGAGTCAGGGGCCTCAGGAATTCAGACATGAATATCTGCTGAGTGCCTCCCGGCTGCCGCCCTGTCCCTGCCTCCTTGGAGCACCCACCACAGAGAGGGCTCTGGAGAGGGGCCTGTGGGGCTGGGAATGCATGGAGTGGGGGGCCAGGCACAACAGGGGTCGTCATGGAGAAGTGACGTCCGTGGACAGGAGTTAGCTGGTGAGGATGCGGGGAGGCGAGGAAGCAGAGGGTGCTGGAGCAGCAGCCATGAAGGCCTTGTCCTGGGGAGGTATGGGAGCTAGCCCACTGGAGGGTTTTGTGTAGGGCTGGCCTTCTCTGACCGGCATTTTGGGGAGATCACTGCCATGGTGAGGAGAATGGATCAGGGGGCCTTTTGTAAGGCAGTGCACTGGTCCCTGAATGGCTCCTGCAGGATCTGGGCAGCAGCTGATTATGGTGGGAGTGGCAGTGGTGGGCCCTACACCAGGGTCTGTGACCTCCGTGTGTTTCCCTGCAGGGGACTTTGTGCAGCTGCCCGTGCCCATTATCCAGCAGCTCTACCACTGGGACTGCGGCCTGGCCTGCTCCAGGATGGTGCTGCGGTGAGTGGGCAGGCCTTAGCCCTCCCAGTCCACAGCACCTGCTCTTGCGGGGTGGCACACAGGGAGAGACCTGGGTGGGATTCATCGTCCATGTGTCTCTCCTCTGTTGG